GGCACCTTGAGGACCCGGGGGGTGCTGGATTATCAAATATGCCACACTGCCTCCCCAGACTCCTCATAGCCCCCCCCTTCCGATAGCCCGGCTCTGCCCCAGGCGCCCCTATTCAGCTGCTGCTGAAACTGACCAGCGGCTGATTCCGGGAAGCCCGGGGCAGAGCAGCTCCAATTGTCCAGCTGCCCGAGCACTTCCGGGTTCCCAATGGTGCCGGATCATCAGGAGTGCCGGAGCATTGGATGCCGGACCAATGGAGTTTTACTGCATTATTGATAGTTGATTTAATGATTAATAATAGCATAAATGAAACATTGTACTCACACACTTTATTTAATGGGACTTCTACTGCTGCATCTTTTCGTGCATTTATTTGAAGTTTACATCATTATTGGTCAAATGCACACATTCAGGCTGTCTTCTGTCAATCTTTCGGCAGGGGGCTGGGTATTGCAGGAGTCTGGGTTGGGAAGTCTGAGGGGCTCAGGGCAGGATGTTTGGGTTTATGATGTGCTCAGGGCACAGGGTTGGGGGTGTGTGGAGTGCAGACTGTTATGGCAGGGGACTGGGAATGTAGGGGTGCAGGAGTTCAGGGAGGAAAGGGGAATGGAGGGAGCAGAGCCAAGACCCTGTGAAGGAGCAGGACAAAGGTGTTTGGTTTTGTGCAATTAGAAAGTTATCAACCCAAGCACAGTACAAAATTATGGAACAACTGTACAGAGTAATGCCTTTCGGAGTCCTCGAGGCAGACCAAAAGATGCATTCTAGGTTATCTTTGCTGTGTGGTTTCTCCAAAATTAGTCCACATCTGTGATGGCAGAAGGCCAGGCCTGAGTTTGGCTCCATCTTCAGTACTGTGCTACTCTATGTGTCTATGCACTAGCTATACCAGTGCCTTGTAGGTCAGGGCCACCCCTTCCATGTACATCAGTGGGCCTGCATCAGCTGAGAGTCCTGCAAGGAGGGCTTATCACACCTGCGATCAGCAATGGTCCTTGTGAGTCAAGTGCACACAGATGCTGCTTGTCAACACCCACTGGCAGGTTCCCCTCTCCCCCGCGTGCATCACCCCATGGCTTGGCCTCCTGCTCTGATCGGGCACCCCCAAGCAGGCCAAGGCCACAGTGGCTTATTCAGAGGCGGTGGGTCCCCGGGCCCGAAGGAGGACCACCCCCAACTTCAGAAGTAGGATGGAGCTGGGAACAACCCTCCTACCCAGTGCTCTGTGTGCCACGGGCGGGGCTGCCCTACAAGTTCAATGTGTAGCGCACAGACCTCAACGGCCTTATCACCAACCCATATCTGCGCCTGCGCACGGTCTGGCACTTAGCCCCACCCCCTACCTCACGAAGCACCGCCGCGCTCACGTGGGCGGAGAAAACAGTGCGGGAGAGCGACGCCACTGGCTGCAGGGAGGCTGTGACGGAAGCCCGTGAGTAGAACGGGTGTGACGTGCGGGGCGTGAAGGTTCCATCGAAGCTTCCAGGCTCCTGCGGGCGGCCAGAGCGCTCGTGGCCCAGCTAGGGCTGAGCATGCTGCACCTCCTGTCCAGAGCCCTGGCCTACTTCTGGAGGCGGGCAGACAGGGACGGGCTAGGAGAGAAGCGGCTGGCGGGCACAGGTAGCTCCCCGGTCTTTAATAGCCGCGGGCCCGGGAGGCCAGCTCCTCTGGGAGCGATGCTTCTGCCTGGATCGCCTGTGCCCCTTGCCTCCCTCTGGGGGCAGTGCTGAGCGTGGCCAGCCTGTGCCGTTTGATGCAAGCTGTGCATTGTGGTGTGGGCAGGGCAGTCCTGTCCCTTACTCTGAACTAGTTAGGGGCAGGACTTGTCGGGGAGGGGGACAGCAGAGAGAAGGGGACTTGTTCCTAACCAAGTAACTGTTGTGTACTTTGTTTCAAAATACAGGTCAACAAAGGCATGGCATGTCTGCTGAAAGTCAGCTTGCTGCGGTAGCAGCACAAAGACTAGTTCTTTTTGTTGGGATGCTTGTCTAGTGTTAGGATGGTGGCAGTGCCTAGTGGTCTGTAAGATGTAGAAGGTTAACTCTCCCCACACACACAGGTTACATGCTGCGTCCCCAGGTGCAAGACCAGCTGCAGAGCCCACAGTGAAGCGTCCCCAGGAGTGGGGCATGCCTCAGGGTCCTCCTTCATGGAGCGGGGTCAGCAGCAGCCCCTGCTGGTCCTGCTCCTGGGAGGCTTTGCTGTAGGCTCTGCAGCATAAAGCTTATTTAAGCTTTACGCTGCAGATCCTGCAGTGCATATAACCATGTAACTGTTATAATTTTATGTCTTTAGGATGTGGAATGAAGTGGGTAATCCAGTTAAGGTCTTTGTTTAAATCTCTATTGTAGGTATCAAACATGTAAATGAAATTAAGCTCTGCGGCTTCCCTTTCAAGCTGTTTTTTGAAATTGTCTGGAAGTGCCCCTTTGCCATGTATATTGGCCAAACTGGAGAGTCTCTAGGAGAGAGGAATAATGGACACAAATTAGTTATTCGAAAAGATAACACACAGAAACCTGTTAGGGAACACTTTAACTTGCCTGGGCACTCATTAATGGATCTCGAAGTCGGCCAATTTCATTATTATTGCCAGCCAATTTCAAAAGCCAGCTTGAAAGGGAAGGCTGGGCGGCCGCAGACAGAAGCTGCTCAGGCTGGGCAGGCAGCCTTACTTGGTTCTGTCTCGCATCAGGTCCGGGACCTACCTGGCACAGCAGTTTAAATGTATTAAGACCCAGGTGGGCAGGCAGCCTAGCTCTTAATACATTTAAAATGCAGAGCCTCGGTGGGAGCAGCCTCGGTTGGACCTGGTGCAAGCCAAGAATGAGTCGGGCAGCCTTCCTTTATCAACCAGTCATGTAGTCAATTAGAATCTTTATCAATCACACAATTAGCAAATTACCTGCTTCTTAAAATCCCTAGACCCTCCTTCATAATGAAGACATGGCCTAAGTCTTAAACTATAACACTAGGGTTTCAGTAAACTCAGAATAACAGCAAAAAAAGAGCTATTTTTTCTTTGGTGTTAAGTTTACATTTTGTATACCACTATCAGGGCTATTAGTTTTTCCAGAGGTGTATCATTAGCTGAGCCCTTATCTGAAACAAATTTGTTCACCTACAGGAGTACCTTAGATCGGTGGTTCTCAACCAGGGAAACCTATGTATGTAGAGGTCTTCTAGGAGGTACATCAACTCTTCTAGATAATTATCAATTTTTATAACAGGCAACACAAAAAGCATTAGTAAAGTCAGTACAAACAAACATTTTGTCATGACTTGTTTATACTGGTCTATATGCTCTACATGGAAATGTAAGTACAGTATTTTATATTAATCATTTATACCATGAATTATAAAGTGTCTTTTCAGTTAGGGTGCATCTACACAGCAGTGTTATTTTGGAATAATGGCCGTTATTCCAAAATAACAATGTGAGTGTCTGCACAGCAATTCCGTTTTCTGAATAAATAAGAAATAGAGGATGGCTTTTCCTGATTTCTTTAAACTTCATTCCATGAGGAATAACTCCCCTTCCAAAATAGCTATTTCAAAATAGTAGGAGTGGAGTGTCCACACTACCACTATTTCGAAATAGCTCCTCACCAGGGCCTTTCTAAGTAATTACTCCCCAGTGCCTCCTGTGGCTCTAAATCAAGGTAGTGCGTCCACATTAGGGGAGTCTGCCTCAAACTAATGTTGAGGCATCCCTGTAGTATTTCTATGTGCTATATTGGAGTATTTCCTCCAGAAATTCTGAAATAAGTGTGCAGTGTAGAAGTACCCTAAGTGGCACTTTTTTGTATTTTTGTCTGATTTTTGTAAACAAGTTAAGTGAGGTGCAACTTGAACGCATGCAAAAAAAAAAAAATCAGACTCCTGAAAGGAATAGAGTGGTCTGAAAAGATTGAAAACCAATGACACCTACTTTTAGATTAATAAAAGTATTTTTCTGAATCAGTTTTGTATATAATTTATATTGATTGATTGATTAGTGTTTACATTCCTTACAACTTAGACATTGAAAATACATTTCTCAGGTTCTCAGTGTGGTGATATTTTTGTTCCATACACAATTAGGAATTGTTTCCTTTACATCATTTGTGACTACCACCATCGTTATATATTTTCATGGAAACAGTTTTGGTTTTAAACTAATTTCTAAACATATTTTCCCTCTTTCAGATGATAGAGAGTTAAAATCTATGCAAGGAGTAGTGACAAGATTTTGCCATGATTATGGGATGATAGATGACTTAATTTGCTTCACAAATGATGTTGTGTTGAGTGGTGAACCACTGAATGTTGGACAGAAAGTCATTGCTATTGTTGAAGAAGATGAAACATCTAATGGATTGAAGGCGATTCGGGTAAGACATGAGTATTTTACTTGGTCTAGCATTTTGTATTCTGAGCTTCCTTTTAAGGATGCTAAATTGTGGTTAGCTAACTAATTGTATAGTCAGTACAATTTGTATTGACTATAACTATACAATTAGTCGATAGGACCACTCTGCAGATCCACAGTGGGGGTAGATCCAGGAGCCGGCTCAAGCCGGAACTAAGCAGTCCTGGCTTGTACCAGCTCCGTGATCCATCCTCACTGCTGTTCTGTGTTTTAAATGTAGTAAGAGCTGCTGGTTCTTACTACATTTTAAAAGGCAGAGTCACAGCATCCCAGACCAGTGCAAGCCGGGACTGCTCGATCCTGGCTTGTTGCCAAGTCCATCAGTCCTGTTCGCTCCAAACAGACTGGTGCTGGAGCACCCTCTGTTTGCCACAGCCAGGGGCTGCTCTGGCTACCACGATCAGGGACTACTGGATTTAGCATGAGCTGGGACCGAGCAGTCTCCTGGGCTCTTGCTACATTTCAAAGGCTGAAGTTCTGTTTTCCCCACTGTGCTTCTGCCACCCACCCCCACCTGCAGAGAGGGTGCTGGGGGGAACTGGATTGTTGTCTCTTCGCACTTTACTTCCTAGCATATCCTGTTGCTGAACAATTAAGCATCTTATTTGTGGCTTTAGTGGTAGCACCAATCAGCCTTTTCAAGGGACACTGTCAAGTTAAATATTTTTTAAGTAAATTACTTTTTAGATATGGTCCTATAACCCTTCAGAAAATAGCTGATTTTTTTCCTTCAAATCTGCTGCTTGGCAGTTTAAGGAGCTTCCCAGCCATTGACGACAGTAACTATTAAACTCTTCAGTCTGAGGGGTAGCCCTGTTAATCTGTTACTTTTTAAAAAGAATAAGTAGTCATATAGCACCTTAGTCTAACAGATGTATAGTATCATGAGCATTTGTGGGCAAATCCACTTCAGAGGAGATGATCTTGAGATCATCATGTTACTCTTGAGGTGAGAAGGGGGTTTAGGA